AAGAATTTGGTCCTCTGCAGAGCAGGGAATGCCAGCTCAAGTCTCTCCCATGGGCACATTAAATGTGTGACCTCCTCTCTGCTGTCTTTCTTCTCTGCTCTCTCTCGGGGCTGGTGGCAGGCCTTGAGGTGCCAATGCACGTAACAAACCAGTGCTGAACATTCCAAGAGTTAGATAGAAATAGAAAATTTCCGGCACTCTTCCTCAAACATAAATACCAAATTGTTTCACCCAAGACAAGCCATTTCTTCTGGGCCTCCTTGTTTGTACCCCATATCTGTGGCTCCATGTTCCCCATCTGAGTGTCTGCCTTTCAAGTGGTAATGGGGAAGTCACTAAGGACACTCTTGTGTTACCCTTGTTTTCTAGTTTGATGTGAGAAACTCCTAGGTGTTTGGTTGTTGTTACCCACAACTACCAGGACACAAAGAGTTCTTTACATAACATGGAAAATACCTATAATTAGTCCATCCCATGTATCACTAGATTGTCTTTCACCCTAGACTTCTGTCTTACATCCTGCCCAAGTGAGATGGGCCTGGGAAATCCTTCTGCCCACTTGGCTTAAGAAAAATGAGCTGGGAATGTCTCTGTGACAGAACTCTTACCTGGCCTGTGTGAGACTTTCTATTCAGTCGTGTGTGTGTGTGTGTGTGTGTGTGAGAGAGAGAGAGAGAGAGAGAGAGAGAGAGAGAGAGAGAGAGAGACAGACAGACAGACAGACAGAAAACATGCTGGAAGATAATACAAAATGTCCTTCAGTTTCTTTAATAAATGACACAGGAAAACTGGAGATCGATACAATTAAACATAGACATGAGATCCAGATGATATAGACAGATGCCTAAGAATGAAGTCCGACTGCCTCACCATCCCTCCCAAAGACCAACCCCACACAGCTTAAGCATCAACCTGAAATTACAAAATGACTGCAAGAAAGCATGGTAGAAAGAAACACAGCCCCTAGTCTAAGCCATGATGCTTTAAACTTTCCTCAAAATATCAGGAAACAGAAGCAGAAATAGACAGAGGGGATTACATCAAACTGAGTGCCTCTGTACAGTCAAGACAACATCCGGAAGCCTGAGGTGACAAGCTACAGACTGGGAGAAGGTATTTGCATTGATGTACCAGATAAGAAGGGATCGATTCTCAGACTATAAAAGACTGAACTCTGTATAGAAAGGAAACAATGAATGTGGGTTTTAAACTAGAAAGGGGTCTCAACAGACGTTCTTCTAAAGAACACACACTGGCCAACAGGCATACAAAAAAAAAGATGCTCCAAATCAGCAGAGAAATGAGAGTTAAACTACTCTGAGATGTCACTGCACCTGTTGAAATGACTAATGTCAGAAATAAGACAAATATAAACTCAAAAGAAACCGGGGGGGCTGGCAAATCCTTCACATTGCAGCTGGGAGTCTAAATTAGGATGGCCATTACAGAAAACAGCCAGATAGATGTTGGGGGAGGAGCAAAAAGCAAAACTAAGGGTAAAAATCAAATTACAGAGTGATCCAACAGCCCAACTTCTAAGTATTTATCCAGGGATTTAGAGTCTGTGCACTCCGCTAAGAGCCTGGCTTTTAGAAAACCGCTAAAAGCAAACTTGACTTCCCCTCCCAAACTGGACCAGCAATAACACAAGGTGGGCACTTAGGGTGGGAAAAGAGGAAGTAGCTGGATATCAAGGACATCTCCCCAGAAGATGCCTGAAAAGGAACATCCCAAAGCTAGCAAAAAGTTAGGAGAGAGCAGCTATAGACTTGAGGGAGACAGGCAGGGCTTGAGGAGGGAGTAAACGGTGCTGTGAAATCAGTCACCACACCACCCTCAAATTGCAGAAGAGGATGCTGGAAAGACACAACCATGAAGGATTTAGAAGTGACCGCAGTCATATAGTGACAGGCTGATCATTCAGGCCACATTTTACTAAGATGAGCAGAAGAGGAATGGAGAGGGCTGGAGCTACCCTTTCAAAATCTGTGTACATAAAAAGAGGTGTGGGAGGATGGTGTGTGGGCCAGCATGTAGTCCTTGCCATAGCTGTGTAGTGGCTGGGGGACTTACAGGGATGAAACGACTCAACAATTGCCAAGTTCGATCCCATCCGGTGCTAAAACTGTCTCTGTGGAAACACCATCGCCCCTGCTGATGAATTCTCTAAGCAGCTACTGAGGTGTGGCAGAACAGAAGCCAGTGACTTCAGGAGGGACGTGTCTACCCAAACACCACTACAGGTGCCTGAATAGATCCAGTGAAACATGAACCAGAACGAAGAACAAAGCCTCAATTTATTCCAGGCTTCACTCTTGTGGGTCTTGATTCCAAAACCCATATGGTGGTTATTGTTTAATTGGGGGCAGGGTGGTAACCAGTAGACTCATACTGGTGGGATGGCTCAGTGGGTAAAGGTGCTTGCTGGCCAGGCTAAGAATCTGAGTTTGATCCCTGGATTCCAAATAAAGATGGAAAGAGAGAATTGACTCCACAAAGTGGACTCGAACCGTCACACGTGCACCAAGACACATGTGCCCACACACCCACCTCTCTCTCCGTCTCTGTCTCTGCTTCATACATACACATGCATACACACAATAATAATAATAATAATAAAGTAAATTAATAAATATTTTAAACTATACAAAAAAGAAAAAAAACAGCAAACTGTAGAATCTGGCCCCACACATATTTTGCAAGGTATACTTAAAGAAATTAGCAGTCTCAGCTCTTCTCACACAGAAGTTGATAGACTTTGTAACCCAGATGGGTAAGCATGCTGAGGTCTGACCCCAGCGTGGTTGGAATGGGTCTAAGAGAATAACCATTAAATTTACATGGCTGACTTTAGGTCCGGAAGTCATGAGGAAAGCTCCCAGGCAAACTGACTGGTTTCTAGACCGCAAAGATTTCAAATTCTCCATTTCATGTGATTCAGCCCACCCGTTGTGTGCCAGGGCCTCGTCTTTCATTAAAGCTTTGGTTTTCCCATGATAAAACTGAGTTGGGGTATTACGCTTACACTAAAGTTCTACAAACCATGGAATTAGGAGTCTCACACTTTGTAGAATGAGCTAGCCCCAAAGTCCCACCAAGCTGCACAATTAAATCTGAAGTCTGGGGGCTGGAGCGGCGGCTCAGCGGTTAGCACTTACAGCTCTTCAAAGAGACCGCAATTCTCAGAACCTGTGTCAGGTGGTCACCCTGCCTGTAATTTCAGCTCCAGACCTGATGCCCTCTTCTGAATTCCTCAGGCACTGCACCCTGTGTACAAACCCAAGCACCCACAAATACAGGTAGTAAATAAAAATTAAAACAAAAATCTTTTTTATTAAATCTGAGTCTGAGTTTTTACAAGGGTGGTCTTCATGATTCTCTGACTACTCTTTCTGGAAGATCTAAGGCCTGAGTGTGCCAGGGTTTTCTGGGGGCTACACTGAATTCAAAAACCTTCTTACTCCATAATCTCTGTGGTCATTTTTTTCTACCACCACCATTGAGGTGGCCAGATTCGGTTTGTACTTGAGGCGTTTTGCTTCTGTAATTCAATCTCGAGCCACCAAGGTCACAGTTGAATTAATTATAATGTCAATGAACTACCCACCTACCACTCTTCCATTGGCAGGAAGTTCAACACCATCTTCAAAACCAAGAGCAACACGAGCCCCGCCTCCACCTCCATAGCCCTGTGGTAAACACAGTGCCACGGTAGAAGTGGCTGTAGGGCTATGGGTCTAGGCTATCTTGAAGGCTAGACCAGTCTTCTGTATCCCAAAGTCATATCTAGATGTCGGGTGCCCCGCGCTCGGCCTCGCCTGCAAGAACCACGCGGGACACAGGATCCTTCTGCAGAAATGGCTTTAATCCTCTTGGGAGCTAGAGCATAAGCCATATGGCGGAGACCCAGATATGATGGAACCCATCCCTTATATAGGAAACAGACCCTGCTTCGGACGTGTCACTCTTGGATTGGTCAATTGTCCATAATCCCAGGTAAATGCCTCGGGAATAGGCGGGGACAGTAATGGAAAAATACCAACACGTGTGCGTTCACCTGGCGGTGAAGCCGGATGTCAGCGCCATCTTGATGATGGAGAATGTGGCTGCGGCCTTCTACAGTCGGGGCCTTTGCAAACAATGCCCAGACCTCCAGTGCCCCCAGGGTGCCCGTGTCAGCAATAACACCCAAAGTTACCATGAGTGCCTTCGACAGGGAGTGTTCTTGGCAACAGCGGGTAACTTTGTATGGCCACCTGTTGGAGTCACACTATACATTGAATTCCTCACCCGTTATTGTAAGCCAACTCTACTATCAAGTGTCTTTCCCCGACGGAGTGTAGGCAAGGTGAGCTCTTCAGTTTCTATATGAACATATGTCTGTTATCTCTGGTTTCCATGAACCTCCGCTGACCATGTGCTTTGTGTATCAGGGGCTTTGTCCAGACACTGAGAAGGAGAGGTCTTTTGGGATGGGGGAGGCATGAAGAAGGGTTTGAGACAGGTTTCTCTGTGTAGCTTTGGCTGTCCTAGGACTTTCTCTGTAGACTGGGCTGGCCCCTAACTCAGAGATCTGCCTACCTCTGCCTCTTAAGCGCTAGAACAAAAGATGTGTGCCACCCACCTGGCTGGAGGAGAGCGCTCTTGAGAGCAGACTTAGACTAGAGTGAGGGCGACGATGGGTAAGGGGCGGGCCACCAAGAGGGCTGGAGATGCTGAGGATAGAGTCCCAGTGTGAGTTCTCCCTCTCCGGACTACTGAACAGCTCAAGGCCTGTGACTTACAGGTTTGGCACATGCTCTCAGGGCCTGTTTCAGATGCTCAGTCCACATAGCAGCCAAGGGGCTGATGTTTTGCTTGGATACGCTTTTACATCTCTCTCTGGCTCAGTGCTCACCCCTCTGCCCCCACTCCAGAAAAACCCAATAAAAATCTTGATCGGATTCACACTGTGCCCAGCGTTCTGGATGCCTGGATCTCCCACCTACTGCTTCCCGAGAACCATGAGGCTTCTGCTGTTGGCTCTTCCTGTCCTTGCTCTTCTACCCCAAGTGATCCCAGGTAACAGAAGCCAGGGAAGTGACCACAGTGAAGGTCTAATGGGCCCTGGCCTCTGGGGGACAGTGGGTGGCGGACAGTGGGCGGCTGCTCTCCTAACACAGCCAGCACCACATTCCTCGCTGAAACAGTGTCTGCAAGGGTGGGATGGAGGTCAGTCAGGCAATCCTCAGGGAAGCCTCCACAGCCAGAGTTCCTCCACGCGCCACGTGTCCACCTAAAGAACAAGGTTAGACTTTCATCCTCCTCCGTTCTCTTCCTGGCCTGTGGAACTCTAGGAAACACCTCCCAAACCCACAGCCTTATGGCATCTTGGTCTTCTCAATGTCTTTCTATTGCTTTCCCAGGAGACCCTTTGTCTTCTCTTGTTCTTCAAAACGTCTGCAGAGCTGTTACGTGGATGGCAGAGCTGGCTTTCTTCTCCCTTGTACCCTGAAAGTCTAGAGCGTGATAACCACTGTTTTTTAAAAGGTTACCCAAAGACACAGCTGGAACCCTGACTCTATCACTCTGGAAAGCTCCTGCACAAATCTCCCAAGGCAGATCTCAGAACTTGGTAAACTCGTTAAAGTGACCTGCAAGTTTGTTTCAAAAAACTAAATATACCATCCCCATGATTATACAACGTTCTTGTTTCATTTCATATTTTGTGACTACCTAGAGTTCTGCCTCATTCCTTACAAATTCAAAAAATTCTATTGTAATAAAAACCATGGCTGGGCATAGTAGTGCTCGCCTTGACTCCCAGCATTAGGGAGGCAGAGTCAGAGGCAGGTGGATCTCTGTGAGTTCCAGACCAGCCTGGTCTACATCACAGTAAGTTCCAGGACAGCCAAAGCTACAGAGTGAGACCTATATCTAAAAACCAACCAACCAAACAAACAAACAAAGAAACAAAACAACAAATAAACAAAACCTAAAATCAAAAAACCATAAATTTATATGAAATCATTTAGAACCTCTTTAGCCACCCATGAGAAGGAGTGTATGATATACTTCCCCGTGTGGGTATATATAAGGGTTTACCTAGGATAGGTTCCTAAAAGAGAAACGGTCATGCTAAAGGTCAGTTGACTTTTTCTTTCACTTCACGAATTCCTCCCTTATAGACCCGTCAGGACCCCACCAGTAGGAGTCGCTGGCTTTCGGAGCCTTGAGTGACTTTCAGCTGCGGCAGAGGACAGAATCAGGGAGAATTCTTTGGGATCTTTAGGAGACCCAGCTGTGTCTGCCCTGCATTCTGATGGGGATGGAAAAGCAGTCCATGGCCCCAGAAACTCGGGCACGCAGTGAGAGAAGGAACTTTGTATGACACACTTTGGGGTGTCTCTAGCCAGACCCTTGAAGGCAAGAGTTGGGACAAGGAAGGAGTATAAAGTCTTCTTTGTCCTGGACACCCCCCTACTTCAGAAATGACAAAAATCAGTCACTGGTGACAGGAGGACCTCCTGAGCCTCTCAAGTACAGGGCGTGAGGCCCATCTTCAGGACCCTTCATCATGATCGCCACCGCACTTGGTGTTATTTCTACAGGTCTGACGGATAAAAGTGTCTCACCCTGTTGTTTCAACCTGTGTGTATTCCCCAGGGGTCAACCCCTGCAAACGGCTTCCTCTCAAGACCTTCAGTCCCCTTGTGAGTTCAGCCTTATTACTTCCCCATCTAACTGACTTCGCAATCACCACAGCTTCCTTGCTGATCTTTGGAAAACTTCAAGGTCAGCCTGCCTCTGGGTCTTTGTATTTGCTGTTCCCCTGCCTGACATGCTCTTCCCCTAATTACACTCCCTCTCTCACATCCTCTCAAGAGAAGTCTCCCCTCTTCCTTGCTAACCACTTATAGCCTACCCCCACCATCTGCTCGTCTTCCTTCCACAATGCATATCTACAGCTAACTGTTAAACATGCTTCTCCTATCATCATATAAAATCTGAACTACCCACGAGAAGGGCATGTCTGATCTGTTTTGTCTTTAGCAGTTGCCAGCTCTTGCATCTTGAGCGGTGTGCCTGGCACACTGTAGGCACTCAGCAAACAACGGTTCAGTGTTTCAGTAGATGCGCAAAGTCAACAGAAGCAGCTTCTCCTCCCTCCAGTAGCCGGCTGCTTAACATGCGTGCCTGATGCAGCATGCAGGCAGGCGTTCTTTACGTATTTGTGATTAAATGCCCTGGTCGGCCCTAGCCACTGGACGTATCGTCTGCAATCTGTCGCCTCTCAGGACATGGACTTTGCCCAAAGTTCAACCACACAGTGTCTCATACGCAGTGTCTGGGATTTTGTAAAAGGCGCCTCCTGATCCTCACACCCAAAAGGATCCTCTGTCATTATTCTCTAACATTTTAACTCTTTTTCCACACTTTGACCTTTAGCTGCCAGATGTGGTAAATAATCCATTTTATTTTCCCCGAAGACTGGGTTAGCTCTCCCGGCTCTCCACAGTATGTGGAATAGTTTACACTGTCTCCCTCCCTTCCGGGGACTCCTTACTGCAGGCATCCGAGTGTGCTATCCTGTCTGCTTGGGCTATTTACTCTTTTGGCAATGGTGTGTGTGTCAAATACCATACCTTTATAGTGAGTCAGGGTCAAGAGGGGCAAATTTCTGTTTCACTTTAAAGAAAAATATAACCTTGGCTGCCAGTGATCATTATTTTTAATTATGAATTTGAGGTGAAATACTTGAGCCTCCCGAAACTCCCACTAGAATTTGAAGGGAATTACACTAAATGTGTGGATTACATTGGGAAATAATGAGTCCTTATAACAATCATGTCATTCCATGGGAGAGAGAGAACATGTCTTCATGGTTAGAGTCTTAACAGAAACCCCAGAGAAGTCGTGTGCAATCTTAATTTAAAAGAAAATGCCTCAGAGCCAGGGCTTGGTGTGTACACTTTTAATCCCAGAACTCAGGAGACAGAGGCGTGGGGGGGGGGGGTCCTCTGTGAATTCGAGGCCAGTCTGGTCTACATAGTGAGTTCCAAGCCAGCCAAGGCTACATATTGAAATTGTGTCCACCACTATCACCAAAATAAATAAATAAATGATAAAAGATAAAGTTATGAAGAGCACCTGCTTCTGTTCGTGCACAGAAACACTGTTAATTCTTGCAAATTCCTACAAATCAAATTAATTACAATTGTTTATTTGTTTTTAAGATATTAGAGCCATGGCTGCTCTACTGTGTAATAATTTTATCTCTATTTCTAATTCTTATGCACTTTTTTCCTCTCCTCTAAATAGTGATGCAGTCCACTGCTATTATTTGGACAGTAGTGATAACAGAGCTTGTTTCGTTTTCCACTTCTCAATAGAAATGGAAGTTTCTCCATCAGATAATACTAGCTCTGGGATTTGATGTACAAACATCACCAAACTGAGGAAAATCCAGCTGGTTGTGATTCACGCTTTAATCCCAGCATTTGGGAAGCAGAGGCAAATGGGAGCTCTGTGAGTTTGAGGCCAGTCTGGTCTACTTAGCAAGTTCTAGGCCAGTCAGAACTGCATAATGAGGCCCTGTCTCAAAAAGAATTAAGAAAAATTTACCTTGTTTTTCTGCATCTAGATAATTAAATGACTACCTCCTTCATTCTACAAAAGTTGTTTCTTTAGTAGATTTCCTAACATTAACATTATTGGCATCTGGGGTTGAATCCTACTTGATGGTGCTATATTAATTTATTTTCAATGAACATTGGTTCATATTTCATTTTAAAAATTTTAAATCTGTATTAAGAAACTAGATTTACACCTTTCTCATTTTAGAACAAAGACGACGCAAGTCTCATAAAATAAGCCACTTAGCTATTCGAGTGCATCTCGCATCTCAGAGTTCTAGAGCCCCAGCCTGAGGATCCCAGGGGAAAGCCTCCTGACTAGTCTAATTCTCGCTAGTCAAATCCTTGTGCCAGTCCACGCTTCCAGCGAATGCTCCTGGTGTAGCTGTGCAGGAATGCATTGCATTATCCCTAAAACCGCAAATATTTGCTATGTGCACGTGAGCGTGGTTTTACAGTGTCTTAATGTGTTTGGAGAAATTAGCCAGCCTAGTGCAAATAACTAAGCCGCCGTCATGAGGTGAAATTTTTAATATAATTGTTCGTGTGTATTTATTTACTTAGTTTTACTGGGGGGAGGAGAAGAGCACATGTGTGTGCGCGCCACGGTGTATTCATGGAGGTCAGAGGAAAAAAAACAAAAAAACGTGGGAACCAGTCAGTCCTCTTCCTCCATGGATGGGGTCTGAGGGCCAAACTCAGGGCCACCAGGCTTAGCAGCAAGGGCTGTGACGTCATCTCAGCAACCCCAGGTGAGTTTCTTGATGTGGGTAGCTTGACACAGGTCTGGGGAGTTTTGTAATGGCTGTCCCCATTGCCTTGTAATCAGCAAGTTTCCTTTCATTGTTGAGTGATAATCGCACTCTGGGGAAAGTGAAACGTGGGCAGAAAACACAGACTACCGAGCTGCGGGGAGGAGCCTAGGGATGCAGTTCTGCCACCGCCCAAAGTAATTTGTGGAATGCCGGATCTACAGTCACGAAGCAACAATAACTTCAAATGACCCGTCTCTCCTTTGATTATTTAGCCTATGGTGGTGAGAAAAAATGCTTGAACGGATTGGGGAGCTGCAGGAAAAACTGCAAAGATGGAGAAATGTTTTGGGACACGTGTAAATATCGCAGAGTCTGCTGCATTCCAGACACTAGGGAGCGCAAGCGAAAGGTCTCCGTCGCTGTCGGTTGGACCACCGGGACCACTGAGGCAACCCCTGAAGACTCTACAGCCTCTGCAGCCTTTACAATGGACTTCGATTTTTAACTCGGAATTTATAAATATACAGGGAAATATTAAAAATACTTAGATGTGAGAGACTGGAGTGGAGACAAAGAACAAACAAGCAAACAAAACAAAAAAACCAGAGAGGTGGCTGGAGAGCTCTATCTCTGGAGTCTATGATAGTTCTTGACGTCTCAGAGGTCACTCGTTTGTGTCCCAAGAGTGACGGACTATGTTGTATATATAAGACATTGAAACACCCATGAGCTACCACCCCCTCCTGATTGTGTAATTCTAAAAAAGAAAAAAACAAAAAACAAAAAACCACTGTGTAAAGCATTCAAATGTTTCCACCAATAAACTCAGAGCCTACTGGGATGGCACTACAAAGCACAATGCCAGCAGGGACTATCTGCTTTCAGAGGTGAGGTCACTCAAGAAACTTCCCATGGAGCAATAAAGAAACTTGAGAACGTTCCAGAGTATTCGCAAGCCATCATGGCTGTAGAAGTACCAACCTTTTCTTAGGAAAGGAGAGAGAGTTTAACTCTTTGAAAAGAGAAGTAACCCCAGAGGACTGCAAGGACCAGCTAAGAGAAAATGAAGCTCCCTAGATAACAGGGGTGGAGTAGGGGAGGCTCTAAACTCAGGAGGAAACAAAGGTAAAAGGGGCATCACAAAGAGCAAGCAACCTTAGCCTTCCTAAGAAGGCAGCAATGGCGGAAGTGCTACCTAGAGGCACACTTCTGGAACTTCCAAACAGGCAATCTAATAGAGGTTGGATCATAGCCAGCTCCCGAAAAGAAGCTATACCAAAGCCAGCTGCATATTGGTGTAGGCCACAGTCAGAGAAGTAGAGAAAGATGTGGCCTTGGGGAGCAACTCTCCTATTGACATTAATTAGAATTAAAGAAAGAGCAACAAGATATCAGTGGAAAGTGAGACATAAAAAGTAAGCATTATGGCCAGCATGGTGGCTCAATGGGTAAAGGGACTTTCACTGCAAGCCTGATGACCCGAGTTCAATCCCTGGGACCCACATGAAGGTGGAAGGAAAGAACCAATTATGCAGAGTTGTCGTCCACTCACTACATGAACATGACAGGACACTCTTACACGGACACACATCATGTTCACACACAATAAGAATGAGTTGTTTAGAAATATAGTTTTTTAAAGCCCTCTAGAATTTTAGGAATTAAAAGGTCTTAACAATCATGGAGAAGGGCACGTATTGTTCAAATTCCTTCTGTAGTAACCACCAAACCCATCCCAGCCTCACAACCTGAGGTCATGACCAGACAGCTTACTCCAAATCCAACAGCTCTGCTTAGAAGTTCGTCCAGGCTTAACTGACTGCGTCCGCAAGACTACACACCTAGCCCATCCCGCCTGTGAGTCCTACATGGCATAGATTGCCATGGCTCATCCCAAATCCTTCCCCCCCTGGTCTCCAAGGCACTCTCCCACCTCCGGTGGCTGCTCAGGCTCCTCTCTGAAAGTCCTTCAGGAACCCGGACCCCTCTCCCACAAGGTTGCTTCCAGGACAGGACAGACATCTCCCCCTGCAAAACCCAATCTCTCTCCAGTGGAGGAAAGACAGGCAAGCAACGGCAAGTGCATGAACTTTAATAAGGAGGTGGAGAGCAGAGAGGGCGTCTCTGGAAGCTTGTGCGTGGTGTTTGCCAGCATTCATGGTATTTTTGGCCAGTGTTTCTCATAAGACCAGTTGGTGTTGTCGTCTACGCCGGCAAGGTTGATCCGCACGTAGGGCTGGAGGCAGCATGTCTGATAAGTTCGGCAGTAGAAGTAGGGCTGCTCATCCTTCTTGCAGAAGGACCTACAGAAGCCTCTGTTACCCATGCATTGAAGGACAGTATTTTTGCCTGGCCGATAAACAAAACAAAAAATAATGATGATAATTAATTTCTGCTCACCTGTGACAAAGGGGAAGTCAGGAGCACAGGAAAGACCTAAAAGGTGACAGCGAGCATCACAGCCAAGAGAGGCAGCATCAGCATCCTTTCTTCCACTTCTCCTGCTACACTCAGCTCAAGGCTCTGGATGTCAGAGTGAGGAAGACAGTACGGAAACAGATGGGGGCGGGGGGACGGAACAGAACAGAGGACCTAGAAGCAAACCTGCACAGCTAGACACACCCAGCTTTGGCAAAGGGGTCCCGAATGTTCGCTGGGAGGAGGAGGCATGTTCAGTAACTGGTGCTGGTGGCCCTGAGTTTGGAGCTGCACAGATGAAGACTACATCTGAATCCCTCAGTCTGCACACAAGTCCTTTCTAAGCAGAACAGGGACCTCGATGTAAAGCTAGAGACCCTAGAAGTGTTAGGAGAAAACACTTGAGGATACAGACCCAGGATTTTCCTCAGTAGGACCCGAACAGCTCAGGAAATAACCCCAAGAACTGACAAATGGGGTTAAATTAAAAATCTCCTGCACAACGAAATAAACTGTCAGCAGAGCGGAGGACCATCTGCATCAGCTCAACCGTGGATGGAGGGCTACGATCTAGAATATATAGAGTGGGGAAAACCAGCTTCTTGGGAGATGGCTCAGTGGTCAAGGGCACTGGCTACTCTTCTAGGGGACCCAGGCTTGATTTCCAGCACCCATATGATGGTTCACAACTATCTGTAACTCCAGTTCCAGGGGGTCCAACACCCTCTTCTGGCCTCCATGGGCACTGGGCATGCATTTGGGCAAAGCACCCCCAAACATAAAATAAAATAAATAAATCTTAAAAAAAAAATTTTAAGCACCAAATTTTCAAAGCACCCTCAAGCCCCAAAAAGCAAAACTGTCACTCAATAAATAGGCCAATGAACTTCTGCAGACTGACAGTTATCAAAAGAAGAAACATAAATGACTGAGTCTTTTTGAAAGCATTTAATATCCATAGCTAGCCATCAAGAAAATGTGAGAAAGGGGACCCTCGCCCACTGCTGGTAAGAATGAAACTGGTGCAGCCACTGTGGAAACCAGCTGGAGGTTTCTTGAACAGCGGAAACTAGAGCGATCACGTGACCCAGATATACACCTGGTGTAGACCCAAAGGGTCATGCAGCACCTTCCAGGGCCACCAGACCACTCAGTGCCCCTGAAGGACACATAGAAGAGTGAATGCCCCTCCTGGCTAGGGTGGCACCAAAGGACACAGACTTTAGAGCTGAAACCTCCAAGCCTGCTATGGCAGTGAGAAGCCACTCCCCGCTCCTGCCTCCATGTCAGAACATAGGCCAGAACCTTATACTACATAAAACGCCCAGGTCTCGATTAAAATCACTCATCAGAATCAGGATAATCATATGCCAAATTAAAAAAAAAAAGCCAAACCCGTGATCCCTCCGTGTTCAGAGCACTGATGGCTCGCTCCTGCTCATCCTAAACTGCACCCCGCAGAAGCACGTAGCACAGTCTCTTTAGTGTGTACATACGGAAGTCAGATGTCCACCTCAGGTGTTGTCTTCAGACGCTGTCTACCTTGTGTTTTGGGACAGGGTCTCTCAGTGGAACCTGACCTGGGTGGTTTTGGCTGGAATCCTCCTGTCTCTGGCCTCCTGACACTGAGACGACAGACTCAGCCCAGCGTGTTCAGCCTTGTGCGGTCCCGGGGATCCAGACGTGAGCTTGCACAGCAAGTCCTTTGTCCACCGAACCACTTCTCTAACCCACAAACTGGGGTTATTACAGCGCTCTGGTTAAATATGAGCTCAAAGACTGGAGAGATGGCTCAGTGGTTAGATCACTTGCTGCTCCTGCAGAGGACCCAGGTTCAAACCCACAATGCTGCCTTACAATCATCTGTTACTTCCAGGGGATCCAATGCCCTCTTCTGACTTCTGAGGATACTTGCCATGTTTGTGGTGCACAGACACACAAAATAAAATTGAAAAACCTAAAAATAATTTAGCAAAAAAATGTGGACACTGATAAAGGAAGACACCTGACATGTCAACCTGTGGGTGAGTTCATACACATGCACCATGTTCACACACACACACAAATGCATAGTTACACACAGGCACACATCTTCATTTACCAGGTACACACACACACATACACAAATGCACACTCACACACATACACACATTTGCATTCACCATGTGCACACACAAATGCACACTCATGCAATGCACATATGTGCACTCACCATGTGTACACACACAAATGTGCACTTACACAATGCACACATCTGAATTTGCCATGTGCACCATACAGAAACACACACATATACACATGTGTATTCATCATGTGCACACACACACACAAATTTACTTTCACATAAATGCACACTCACACAAATGCACACTCACACACATGCATACATGTGCATTCACCACATGTACACACACAAATGTGCACTCACATACATGTACACATCTGCATTCACCCATGTGCACCACACAGAAACACACACACACGTACATTCACCACGTGCACACACACAAATGCACACTCACACAGGCGCACTTGTGCATTCACCATGTGCACACACAGAAACACATACATCACACATATGCATTCACTATGTGCATGCACACACAAATGTGCACCCACGCATATGCACAACACACATGCATTCACCATGTGCACACAAACACACGCAAACACAAATTCACACATATGCACTCACCATACACACACACACACAAATGGACACTCACACACCTGCACATATACGCATTCGCCATATGCATATACACACACACACACACAAAGATCAGATCAAAATCTTGGAAAAGAATACAAATAAAAGCCCTTACACCATATGTCTGGATACTTAAAAGTGATGAATCAAGTCAGCAAGAGAAATATGTAAGTAAAATCTATTCTATGTTCTTTAGTGAAGCAACCATCAGGGATGACCCCATTGAGATTCATAATTCTTGGACTCCTCAGAGTTCCTGTAGAAACATGGCAGCCTTAGGGAAGATGCCCACCCTCAACCCAGCGTTCCTCCCCCACATCCTCGGATCTGCATCCACCAAGAAATAGCTCATGAGAACTTGTGGCCCAAGCTTGGCCATGGCCCCTGAAACAGTACGTAGCTGACATTTCTCCCCGTGTCTAGTGGCACATCCCAGAAGGTCCTGTGGCTGAACCTAGGGAACAGACCTCATAGCTTTAGGAAGTAGCCTCAAAGAGTCTTTGGACAGACTGCACCAGGCCCCACTGAGCAAAGTGCAAGCCTGAAGGTAGGGTGGGCATCACTGGCCCCATATTTCATCCCCCAGTGGGGAGGAGCTTAGAGGAAGCCTAAAGGAAAGGCAGGATGGGGGAGGGGGCTGTGTTCCTAGAACATTCTCTTTCTGTATCATAGAACTCCTATCTATCTTGATGGCATGTGTCATGCTTCAAACCCGCCCCCTGTCCTTGGCCTCATCTACAACATAGCTCAGGGGTGAACAACTGTGCTGTGTAAATGAGGCCCCAAGACCAGGATGTGAAGACATCCAGTCCCACAGATTTCCAACAGGATCTTTAAATTCCCCATTTCTAGTCTCACCCATGCTAATCCATCCAAATGGTGTGGACTTCTGTCCCTTGCCATCCCGTGCCAGAGCCAAGGAAGACCAACGGTGCCTACTCTGTAAAGGCCTGCAGAAACTGACAAGATGGCCACAGATGGTGTTTACCAAGCCCTTGGACCCTGCCTATTTAATTCTATTTTTCCTTTTCTTTTTGTTTTGTTTTGAGACAGGGTTTCTCTGTAGAGTTGGTTCCTGCCCTGGAACTCTCTCTGTAGACCAGGCTGGCCTCGAACTCACAGAGATCCCCCTGCCTCTGCCTCCCGAGTGCTGGGATTAAAGGCTTATGCCACCGCCGCCCTGCTCATTGTAACCCTAAGCTAAACGATGTTGTTGTTCAACTTTTCCAAAAGCAAGATGCTGGAGCTCTGGCAGGGTTGTAAACAGGATGCATTAGTGGTAAGAGACAGAGCCGAGATGAATGAGTGAGAGCAAGCTAAAAATGGACAAGCTCACCCTGAGTGGACAAGCTGCAGGTGCTCTCCGTATCTGGAAACTTTCTGATCCCTGGGCTACGAGTCCTTGAGCATTACAAGGTCTTTCCGGGGAAATCCAAAGATTTAGGTTCCACTCAGCCACCTTTGACCTATTCCCTCCCAAGATGAACCAATACTCTAGGCATCTAAGGTCCCTTTAAGGTTGTGATTCCGTCCACCCTGTGCTCCCTCAGTTTATGTCTCCATAGCCACTCCTGGGGCTGGCAGGTGACACCATCTTCAACACTGTGCTTCTCACCCCATTGCCAAGGTCCAGTCCTGATGGCTTCTCTCCACTGCCTCTGAACTCTGTCCTTCCATCTCCCCACCCCAATTCATTATGACTGACAGACACAAAAGTCAGTTCTGTGAGTTTTAATGTGGTGAGTTTTAAAGGATGAGAAGCAACATCCTTTCTACCAATTGTAGGGACGTCTCTTCTTTCTATGGAGTTTTGAGGATGTCGTAGGAGTGGTCCAGCCAAGGACTCCATCAACGGTCATGGTAGGGAGTGTTAGGTAACGCAAAGGGACGCAGCAGCGTTTGCGATTTTGGCAGCGTATGACACTGTCTTCCCCGTCCTTGCACATCACCCGGCAGTGTCCGTCCTTCCAGCACGCATCTTTGGGGCACAGGAACAATTGTTAGGCGTGTGTTAGTATTGCCCAAATGACAGACAAGAAGCAGCAGATGACAGGGGAACAGGGGGGAAAAAGAGACACACAGTTGAGTGAGCAGTGCTGACCCGGGTCCCAGGAAAGGCGAGCAGGCCATGAGAGGGAGAGAAAGCTTTCGGGAAAATTCTTTTTTATTTTTGAGACAGGGTCTCAGCTCCTAGCTGGTCTCAAACACAGAGATTCACCTGCCTCTGCCTCTCATGCTGGGATTAAAGGCATGCACCACCCATCCAGCCAAGGGAAAGCTTTTTTCAAAGTTTCTCCCCATCGATCATCCTGCCCTGCCCCCTCCCCAACTTCCTAGTCCTTTCTCCAGAATTAGTGTGTGTGAATGAGGGTTCCACCTGGAACCTGGGAATGATGGGAAAGGGACAATGTCCATCTAGGCGCTAGTGGACAGAGGAGACTCAATTACATCATAACAGAGCCAGCTCCTCAACAGCGGGTGACAGAAGTCAGCAAACCTCAGCTCTGACCTCAGCCCAGCGTCCAGTCCCCTTGATTCATTCTCATCTACTTAAAACTCAAGTCCCAGTCAGCTTCCTACCTTGCTCAGCTCAATGCTCCCTGAGGCCTCACTCCAGCCCAAACCCAATTCTCATCAAGTCACCAGTCAGCTCCCTGCCACCAAGCTGCACCCGAGCACCCAGCACACCAGATGCCTACCCCACCCTCAGCCCAAGTCCAGTCCAAGGCCAGCAGCAGCTCTACTGAAGCCAAATCTCCCCTCTCCATCTTATTCCAGGCCACCTGGAAATCCAGATCCTCGCCTCCAGCTCATGCTGACTCTCTGTCACCCTAGCCCGAGTGTTCCCACAGCAGGAATTACCCCTAACCAAGTCCCCAACCCGAACCCAATCCTTCACTCCTCATCCATCTCCTAAGTACTCACCAGAATTCTACTCTTGCCCGCAAGGTACCAGACCCTGGCAGCTACTTAGTAAAACAGATTTTGAGAGAGAGAGAGAGAGAGAGAGAGAGAGAGAGAGAGAGAGAGAGAGAACGCAAAATGCACGACAAGAACTTGGGTTACCCTTTGAAGCTGTGTGAAATGGGAAAAGACTTAAGCGTTGACCCTGTGAGAGTGAAGGAAAGAGAGAAACCCAGAGACAGGACCCCAGACCCTAAAAGAACCCACGTTACCTGACATCACCAGCTCTGTTGCCACAAATATGGCAAGAAGCAGGAGCAACAGCTTCATGGTGGCAGTACCCGGGTGAAGAAGGCAGCTGGACTGCAGGACAGGAGCAGCGTTCCCCGAGGCAAGGAAGAACCTCCTTTTATCAAGGGCCGTGGGCAGTGATGAAAACAGGAGGGGTTTGTCCAAGGTCAGCCAGACCAAAACACAGTGTGCAGCCAATGTCTCGGCATGGCAAGAGAGTGTGGGAAAGCGACTGGCACCTGTGCCAGACATGACTTTTCTTCAAGGAAGGACGAGAGTGAAGTAAGATGTTTGGACTTTTGAGACCCACAATTAGTTCATTAATTAACAGATGAACATGTGTCAAGAAACATTTAAGTTTTAAGAGTTCTTCAGTAGCTGGCCGGTGGTGGCGCATGCCTTTAATCCTAGCACTCAGGAGGCAGAGTCAGGCGGAGCTCCATAAATTTGAGACCAATCTGGTCAACAAAGTTAGTTCCAGGACAGCCAGAGCTACACAGAGAAACCCTGTCTCAAAATACAAAAAAAAAAAAAAAAGAAAGAAAAAAGAAAAAAAAAAGAGTTTTTCAGTCTTAGCTTTCTTCTCTTCTTTTCCCTCCACCACAGATTTTTGTCTCATGAAATCTTAAACCTTCCCATATGTTCTATACCAAGGCCTCAGGCTGCATTTCCCTCTGCGGGACTCTGAGCTTCCTCAAATGGCTGCTGTCACTGCCTGTTAATGCAGGTGTCTCTCACGGGTGCTAGGCTTTCCAGACATGGCTGCTCTGAAATGGAATCAGTTCTCTTGTGGCCTTCATCGAGTCCTGTGGGATTTTCATTTTTATTGTACATGTTTCATCTTCATTTCTCTCATGGAGCTGCCAGGAACTTGGCTCTAGCTGTGCTCTTCAGAAAGTCACGGGCTGGAAATTCCTCAGTGTGGGGAGATAGTAGAGCCTGTAACAGGTGGGGCCACCTAGAGATGGGCAGAGGGCTCAGTGGGTAAAGTATTTGTTGCATAAACATGAAGACTTGAGTTCAGATTTCCAACACTCGTATAAAAGCCAGGCTCAGTGGCACACATCTGTAATACTAGAGCTGGGGAAGCCATAGCAAGTGACCCCAGGGCTGACTGGCCAGCCAGTCTAGGCAAATCAGTGACTCCAGGTTCAATAAAAGACTAAGAAAAATAATGTGGAGAGCAATTGAGGAAGACACCTGTCATTGAACACACACACACACACACACACACACACACACACACACACACCAAGGCACGGATTAGTGCAAGGTAATAAGATCACAGGATTTCACAGCTAGAAGATGTGGGGGACTCTGATGTGGGAAATCCTTCTGTATATGTGTTGCTTTTATTGGTTAATAAATAAGAAGCTTCTTGGACCTATATCAGGACAGAATAGAGTTAGCTGGAGAAAACTAAACTGAATGCTGGAAGAAAGCAGGCAGAGTCTGAGATGCTGCAGGAGGAGACAGACTCTGGAGAATCTTACCAGTAAACCACGAGCCTTGTGGTAAAATATAGAATAATAGAAATGGGTTAATTTAAGATGTAAGAGCTATCTAGAAATATACTTAAGCTATTGGCCAAACAGTATTGTAATTAATGCAGTTTCTGTGTGATTATTTTGGGTCTGGGCAATAGGGATGAACAAACAGCCTCTGTCACCAGATTGGCACCCAACGCAGGGCTGACTACATCCACATAAAAACTGAGAGATCTTGGAAAGGAGTTCTAGACACAAAAGAACAGAGTTAAGCAGTTTCTTAGTAGCCACATTTTTTTGGAGGGGGGATGGTCTCTGTTGGCGGTGGGCAGGAGCACCATGACTCCTTTAAGAGAAGGCTTACTGATTCAGCATAAGAAATGGTGATTCTGGCTCTTTCAGGAGGCTGAGCACTTAAATGGGGTTTGTGGGCAGCATGCTGCAAGTTACTTGGTGGCAGCATGAGCCAATTGCTTACCAGAGTTGAGGTGGCGTGTGCAGCTGCCTCCCAGTGATCCCAGAGCTAACAGTGAATTACCTCTGACATGTTGAAAGGCCCAGAGAGGCAGAGTCAGTATCTAGGGCTGAGGCAACCACACTGCTACTTCAAGAGGATGACGGGCATCAAAGAGGCTTCTTATGAAGTTGGCTAGATATTTGGGCAAGAAACTGCTCTTGCCTGAACTTCTTAATGTTATTCTGTATAAACTGGACATGCAGGACCCACAGAGAAATGACTGCTGAACTTGCCTAAAGGTGAGACAATCCTCTGGAGTTCTTGTTTCATGAAAGAGTCTGCTAGACATTCTGCAGGACACAGAAGAAAGTGACTGACAAACTATCACTATAGGCGAAACTCTCTTTGAAATTTCCTGATTTGGGGAAAAGTCTGCCAGATACTATAGGCCTGTAGGATGAAGATGGATACCCCAATGGTACAGAAGAACTTTGGGTGACTGTCCAGGCAGTGAGATGTCTCTGTCAATTTTAGAGTTTTAGAAGTTGCTTACACTGCACTGCTTGCTAACTTAGGTAATATTATATCTTTCTGCAGTCTTTGGTGGAGTTAACAAATTTATAGTTATAGTTTTCTTTAGTTATGATAAAAGACAAAATAGATATAAATATTGTAAACTTAATTCTTGCTTTATACCTGTTTTCATATGTAATTTTATTATGTTAAAGTTAAAAATCTTCTTTTTTATTTAGACAGAAAAGGGGAAATGATGTGGGAAGTCCTACTGTATATGTGTTGCTTTTATTGGTTAATGAATAAAGAAATTGCCTGGGCCTACAGCAGAGCAGAATAGAGCTAGGTGTGGGGAAAACTAAACTGAAGCTGGGAGAAAGTAGGCAGAGTCTGAGATGCCATGTAACTGTCAGAGGAGACAAACACCAATGAACCTTACCAGTAAACCACAAACCTTGTGGTAAAATATATAAAATAATAGAAATGGGTTGATTTAAGATGTGAGAGTGAACTAGAAATACGCTTAAGCTATTGGCCAAACAGTATTGCAAATAATATAGTTTCTGTGTGATTATTTTGGGTCTGGGTGGTGGGGATGAACAAACAGCCTTCATCAAAGGACTATGCTTAGATCCCAAAAAAGTGGGTTGTTATAACAAGAATGAACTTGACCACTGGTCATCTCTGGATTGCTGCTCTGCCATGTGATCTTCACCACTGGGATGTCACCCACCACAAGGCCCTTAGTGAGATGGAACAGATGCGGTTGTCTAATCAAAGAGTTTCTGTCTCCCAAATGGTGGTTCTAATGAATTTGCTTTCCAGAGTTTGATATTTTATAATAGAAACAGAGAACAGATTTTTATGGTTTCTAACCCTAGCATGGGATTTCACCTGTCATATTCAGATATTAATCCAGCTATTTTAATAGGCCTTCCTCCCAAATAACAATTCCAAAACATATACATTGATTTTGTTTTTTCTATTTTTGTGCGCAGTGCAGGTAAGTGCAGAAGTGTCGCAGACAGCAGGGAGCTTGGGTCCTTCTACATATTCTCAGTTTCACCTGCTGGAGCAGTTCCAGTCCCTACCATCGTGGAGTGTGGTGAAGTGTGATGCTATTTCTTTGAAGGAAATCTTCAGAAGTGGCACATGCTGTTTTCAGTCCATCGGCCAGAACCCATTCCCACCAAAGCCAGCTCTGGAATACGCTGAGAATATTTTCCTTTAGTCTGGGCAATAAAAGCTTGTTAAAAGTCAGAGTCTGACTTAATAAAAGGACCAACACTGAGGAGAACTAGGGATATTTAGAACCTGGCTTTATATACAGAATAATATTTAATAAGCATTGGCAAGTCTAATAAATGTAACTATTACTCCACTGAGTAAATGATCATAGAAAATCAATAGCTTGTGTTGGCTGGTGCCATGAGAGTGATCACAGAGCCCTTCCAAGGGCCAAGCAGTTCACTAGATTTGGGGATAGCAGAGTCTGCCTCCTGGTTTGCTATGTTCTTTTTAAATTTTTAAGTTACATTTTGCCTGTGTGCTTGCATGTGTGCTTGTATGTGTGTGTGTGTGTGTGCGCGTGCACATGCATGCACATGTAAGTGTGTGTGCTCAAATGGTACATATTGAGGTCTATCCTGTGTGTGACATATGTGCTGGATGTGGCTGTGTGCGTTTATACTGCCAAGTGATTTGTGTGGAGACACACAGCCGGTGACTGAGTAGGTGTTTGCAAACACCTCTGTTCTCAGACCTTTAGACATGGTGTCCACTACCTTGGTTCCACTATACCCTGTGACTCTGAAATGTGACAGAGGCTTGGGAATTCTCCTACTGAGCTGGAGAAGTGAGACAAAGTTAGGAGGAGCAGATAAAATGTGGGGAGCAGGGGCTGCCACCGGAGGCAAGACCTGGGGCAATAATGGAGGAGGTGAATTTTGGCCAGAGAACAACTTGATAGTGATTGCTGCATTGTGTCTGTGGGAGACAGAATGAGAACAAAGTGCAGGGGCCAACTTTAAAAGTCTCCCACACAGGAACAGCCTGGCCTGGCTGGCTCTGAAGGCCTCCCCACCCTCCGCCCGTCCAGTCTGGGCAGCTGTGAGTCCCACGTGGAGGAGAAGAGAGGACGTTGACTGTCAAGGTCCCACAAACGGGCCTGCAACGGACTTTAGCCTGATTTCACGGGCTCCTCTCACCAAAGCCCTTAAGTCAACAACAATGTCAAAGAGATGAGAACGCAACAACTGAAGTCTCTGACAAAGACCCTTCCCCTCTGTGCATGCACATTCTATCTGTCCGAGGTCCTGTGGGGCCTGTGGCCCAGGGGGAGACAACATGGATGGCCAAGGTTTCAGAAACCATGGTGAGAGTATCATGGAAAGGCCAGGATCTGAACCAACCCTCCATCAGCACCTCTCCATGAGAGACACAGATCTCAGAGCAAAGTATTTTGTCTACAAATCTCTCTCTCTCTCTCTCTCTCTCTCTCTCTCTGTGTGTGTGTGTGTGTGTGTGTGTGTGTGTGTGTGTGGTGTTGAAGCCAGGGTCTGGTACATAGTTTACAGGTGTTCTACCAATCTGGCCACACTTCTAGGCCTTTTTTTCTGTAATTCTTCAAAACAGTAGGAGAAACACTAAGAGTAACCCATCACCCTCACCTCTTAGAAAATGCTATATTGATTTTATTTACTTTAACCCAGTAAGATGTTTATTGTTCATTATTATTGGATTCATGCACGTCTGTTCTCAGTTTGATCTCCCAGGACCTCCCCTGTCTAGGAACATGGATCCCAGTCCTTAGCCATGACCGTGGATAGGGAGTCAAGAATGCCTTGAGTGGATGGGTAAAGATGGGATGAAGGCCTGAGTGAATATACATTCCCTATTTGACACAGACTTGGTCAGAGGACCAAGACCTCTGACCCCCAGAAACTTGGAAAGGCAAAGCCTTTCTCTGGTCCAAGCAGAAGTGTTTACAAAATTGACCAGTACATGGAAAGACTTGCAACTGCAGCTTCCTCCTCCTAGAAGTTTACCTTC